GGCCAGCACCAAAACCCCAATGGGGAAAGCTTTGCATGAGGGGGGGAGGAAAGGGTAGAATGAATAAGGAGGGTAGGGTATTGGGATAGAGGATGAAAGAGAGAAAGAGGGGGAGCGATAGGGAGGAGAAGTCCGTGACCATGCGACGGATATGGTCGTTGGAGACTCCGTATCTGTAACACTGTGGGTAAGAAAGTGAGAAGAAGGTTAACTTCTCACTTTCCCACAGTGGCCCCAATATGGTGAAAACTTCCGGGGATACCCGGAAGTCACATGAAGGGTAGGAACCGGGCCCGGAGCATGCGGCACGCAGAGCGTGCAGGGCGGAGGTGCACATGCGGGTCCAGGTCCGGGCTAGTCAGGGTGTGTGCCCTGACATCACCCTCCCTCTAAGCCACTTCGCCCCGAAGTGGCCCTAGTCCCCAGGCAGCCCATCCCTCAGGTGGTTAGAATAAAAACAAAACAAAATAAAGCGGAGGCAGAAGCGGGAGTGGGGAATAATGTAAGGATGGAAGTGTGAAACTATTTTAAGTTAAAAAAAAAGCAGCGAAAAATAAAGTTAAGTTAAAAAAAATTAAAGTAGTCATCCATCACCACATATGTGGCACTCCCCTAAGACTTGCCCACTGGTCCCTCAGCACCCTCCATTGTCTGCTCGTGACTCGGTGACCTCCAGCCTGCATCCCTCATCCCATGATGCCCCAGCTGCAGTCGTGTCATCCCTGTGATTGCGTCCGGCCTCGGGGCTGCACCCGCTTCGGGTATGGAGGGTGGTCGTGCAGCACTTGACCTCTGGGCCATCGTCTGCGTGCCTGCACTCTGACCTCCGGGCTGCGCTCCTCCAGGTATGCGGGGTCGGGGGTGTGGTAGCGCTGAGGTAGCGGCAATAGTGGGAGAGTCCCAGGGGATCCAGCAGGGTCTACACCCCACTCCCCACCCTCCCCCTAATGCCACTTCACCCCAAGTGGCTAAACCTCAAAAAGGCCCCCCTCCCCCCTCCTCTGCACATGGTGGTCCGTTGCCTGGGATGCTGGGCTCCTCCTCAGGGGTGGATGGGGAGAATGTGGAAAGGGGAAAAATTTTTTCGGGGTGGGTGGCAGGTATGCAGTATAGTCGGGCCCGGGACTGGGCAGTGTGGGGTTCGCGTGTGAAAAACAACTCTCCCCCAAGTGCATCTTGCGCACTGGGGAGTCTGGGTGCATGGACAGTGGGGTTACTTAATGTGGGCTGAGCACCACCCTCCCTCTGTGCCATGTTCCCAAGCAGTCACAGCAGGGGACCTCGGGCTCCTTCGTCAGCTCCTATCCTCCCCCTCTCATGTCCATCCTCCATCGAAATCCTAAGGTTAAACTCTCTCCTGGGTGCCCAGCACCACAGGGAGTCAGGTCTGTGAGCCATAGCGGGTCCGTGATGCGGCTGGGATACACAACCCTCCCTCTATGCCACATGCCTAAGCGGCCATAGCAGGGATCCTGGGCACCCTCACCAGCGGCATCCATTCCCTCTCATGCTCATTCTCCATCATGAATCCAAAAAATGCGCTTGCGTGGGTGCGTGACTCTCAGTCGCAAGTGAAAGCGGTGGTGGGTGGTCTCATCCAGGTTATCTTGGGCATCTGCGGTTACAAGGCTGGCAGCAGGTGGGTGACCCCCTTTCCAGAGTGCTTTTCGGCCAGTTCGTTGGCAGCAGTCGGGCAGCTTTGTCTCCCTAGCGCATTCAACGAGGTGTCCAGGTAGCGGTGGGATAATGTGGGGGGCCGGGTGGGTAGTCTCTAGCAGGTCATCGTTCTTGCATCTGCAGTTACGAGGCTGGCAGCGGGTGGGTGACCCCATTTCCAGAGTGCCTTTTGGCCGGTACATCGGCAGCAGTCGGGTGGCTATGTCTCCTTAGCGCGTTCAGCAAGGTGTCTGGGAAGTGGTGGGATGACCCTCAACTCAACCTCACAGATTGGAACACAATCTGTGGGACAGCGTTGCAAGGGGCTGGGATAGGGAATGGGAGTGTGGTTGTATCGTGGGTAATGAGTGTGCAATGGTCCGGGGGAAGTGATGATGTGGCATGCCTGCCACTCGAAAATTGCGGGTTCAGCCTGTGCCCAGCTCCGACTCAGTCCGGGCTCTCACGGCCCATGCAGGACATCCTAGGTGGGCAGGGGCAAAGGTTGAAACCTTCTTCTGCTGTCAGGGGACGGACCCTGGGTCCCCATGACCCCTCTCTATGGCCCACGGGCTAACCTGTAACAGCAGCCCATCTCAGGGCATAACACTACTGTGGGTAAGAAAGTGTATAGATGAATAGAAAGTAGGCTACACTTGCCTACTGTGGGTAAGAAAGTGAGAAGAAGGTTAACTTCTCACTTTCCCACAGTGGCCCCAATATGGCGAAAACTTCCGGGGATACCCGGAAGTCACATGAAGGGTAGGAACCGGGCCCGGAGCATGCGGCGTGCGGAGCATGCAGGGCGGAGGCGCACATGCGGGTCCAGGTCTGGCTCCGGCTCCGGGCTAGTCAGGGTGTGTGCCCTGACAAGAGACAATGGTAAAACCGGATAGGTCGACAGGTTGTTCTTAGTCATGAACTTTTTGTCAATGAAACAATCTGATGATCCTGAATCAACGAGAGCTTGGTATTGCTCATTGGGGGTGTTTTTATTATTGGGGAGAACAGAAGTAACAGGCAAAGGAGAAAGAGGAAGTGAGGACAGGGGAATTGGAGCAACAGAAGATGAAGGAGGTAGACAATTTGGAGAAAACAGTTTTCCTGAATCAACAACAGAAGGGAGAGAAGGAGGAGGAGAAAATAGACCATTTTCAGACAAGAGAAGAAGAGAAAGGAGCAAAAGAAACGGGAATGATGAGGGTGGATGTTTTGGAAATTGAGGTGGCACTTAAGCAAACCTCTTTGATAGCATGTGAGGGAGTAATGTAACCCCAGGTTCATGCTGAGTCCACAGAGTCGCGAACTAATTTTGTGGCTCTACAGGAGGAGCCGTAGAGTGCACAGTTTGGGCAATTCGTGCCTTGGAAGCACGAGAGGATGATTTCGGGCAGTCCTTGACCATATGGCCAGACAAGCCACAAAACATACAGAGATTCCTGTCATATCCATCCACAGCCATCAACTTCCACTACCTCCGATCTCTCTGGACTACCTCCGCTCCTTCTTCACTAACCTCAGAGCTCCCGTATTCTTGGTATCCCTCGATGGTCACCACCCCCTCTTTTCAATTTATTACCTATGCCTCCCTAAGTACAGAGCCCCAAAGGCTTCCGGACAGCTCCGATGTCCGCTAGCACACTCCCGCCTCCGCTGGGCAATACACTCGCTTGCCCTGCAAGCCCACCTTCAGGCCTATCCCTCCTTTCCATTTCTGGGTTATTGCCTACCAATCCGCTAACCCCATAACCCAACTTGTCGATAATATTCAATCGGCTAATGTTTAACTCCATTAGCTCCACTCCACTCGGCCCCACCATTTACAGGCCCACCCTCGTTGTAACTATATATACTCAACTTGTACATAGGTTACACCTCAGTAATAAAATCGACTAGAGTTTACCCCCTTTAGTTCTGGTTGCCAGTTAGTAAGTTAGGGCACGGACGTGTTACTTGGCACAGTGCTCCTGGCATAAGTCGCTGAGGCCGAAGCCCTCCACCATGGAGACATTCCTTCATCTCGATCTGGTCTCTGACAATTCCCATCAAAATGGCACTTACGCTCTTCTGGCATTAGCTTGCCATTTTCACCGAGTTTTGAAGAGAGGTCCGGTTTGGCCGTGGGGCATCCTTCAGACTTTGGTCTTTAGGAGGCTTCGCAACCACAGTGGAGAAGGAGTAGAAGAAGGGTGGAAGGAAGTACTTGCTGTTTGGGAGGCAGCAGCCTTGTCAAAGGTAGTGGCAAAGGAGGGCAGAGGTCTAACATGTCATCCAGCTTCAGCCTTACATGTCCAATATCGCGGGTCAAATGTCTGCACGAGGTTTCAGAGGGCAGAAAGTGAAGTAGGCTCAGCAACATGTGAGAAATCGTCCTTGAGACGCTCTGGCAGTCTGTCGTAAAAGAACCAACGAAGTGCAGGCTCACCATAACCATGCAACTGCATAGCATATCGATTAAACTCGACAATGTACCTGTCATATCCATACAATCCTGACCTCCGCTCCGGGCTCCTGGAACTCCGAACTCCGACTTCTGGAGCCCTACTTCCCTTCCGTCACCTTCCCCTTGCCGACTCCCAAGAGGTTATCCCACCTCCAGCTCGGACACCACCTTCGGTCCGACTCCAGAACATTCCGGGTCCGACCCCAACCTCAACACCTTCCAGACGAGTACGCAAAACCTATGCTCCCGACTCCGGGCCTCCACTCCGGAATCCCGTTCGCGTCTCTGTCTCCGGAACCTCCGGTCTTAGTTCCGACCTCGGACTTTGACCCCACCTCCGCTTATACCCATTGTATTGGTTAGCTCATTCCATTTAATTATGTTTGCCAATATTCCGGAGTTTAACTTCCGAGTTCGGACTTTCCGGACTTATGTCGGACCTTGCAACTATTGCATTGCTCCATTCAATCCCGCTATTCTCCCTCATTCCTATTTGGGCTGCTGCTTCCTTTCTATTCAGTCAGCTAGCCATTCCCCACTCCCAACCTCCTTCCTTCCTCCTTGGGCCTTGGCCCTTCACTCCTCCTTTGGGAAACACCATTGAGTCAAACCCTTGACCCTCAGTGTTGTTCCTCTTTCCATCTCCCTTTGTCTCCTTTTGTCCTACCCTTGTTCCTTTTGATTCCGGACCCCTCTTTATATACAATGTACCTAGTAACTTGTAACCTCAGTCCGAAATCGACATGAATTCCCCCAAGAGACTTTCCCTCTGCTAGATCCGAAATTAGGGACCCCTAGGACAACCAGCAATGGCACAGCACTCTGCCTGAGTCGCTGAGGCCGAGGTCCTTCCACGCTAAGTCTCTGATTCCATTCTGGAGTCGTCCGAATCCGCCACGTTCTAACAGTACCTATTGATGTGATGTCCGTCTTTCATACTCAACTGGAGGATCTCGTCTTCAGCATCGCCCATTGGATCATGGGGACTGAAGTTCTCCTTAAGCTCTAAAATGAATTCCTGAAAATTATCCATCCACAAAGGTCGAGCGCCCTCAGGCAGCCCTTCCAGAAGATCTGGTTTGAAGCGATCAAGTGCCATCCCCATCAGGAATGACTGCGTGTAGATAATCTTCAACCAGTCACTCACAAAAGCCAGGGGGCAGTCCTGAAAGTTCAACTCACACTGGACCAAGAAGGTGTGGAGTTTGCAAGGATCAACCCCATCAAACTGGTTGGGTTCTCGGACATTGTACAAGAGCGTTTCTGGGAGCAGGGATTGGAGTGGGATGGGCGGTGGAGTGAGCAAGGCTGGTTATTGCCTGTGCTAACTGGGTGAGTACCGGAACAGGGACTTGCTCAACTTCGTCGTCGTCTCCAACAAGATTAGGAATTGGTGGGATAGGGAGGTTGAGGTCAACAAGAGGAACGGGTTCATGAGGAACCAGCCCATCTTCATTAACAGCCTTGACAAAAACGGCTGAGTTGTGCATGCTACTGGCAACAACATGATCAAAATTGGAACCTATAAAAGAATGATTTGTAACTCGAGAGCAGGAACGTGAATGTCTAGGTCATGAACGTAAGGAACATGAACGTGAATGTCTTTCGGATGAGGATCGTGAGCTAGTGGTAGATGGAACAGTTTGAGAAGTAAGACTAGGAGACTCAGCTCCAGCACGTCTGTTTGAAACAGGACGAACAAAACTGGTGCCTGCTCTCGGCGTCGCATCTATAACCAAGCCACAAGTCTGTGAACATGTACGAATTACTCTGGACATAGTCAGTGTTTTAAAAGAATGTAATCAATGCAAAATACTGTCAGATACATGGTGAGGAGGGCAGTGTTCCTGGACCTTTCCCTGGAAGGAGGCTGGAGGTAGAGAACAGGCGGAAGGACCATGGCCTCAGCGACTCAGAGAGGAGTGCTGTGCCTATGTTTGGTAACACTTTAGGAGTCTGGTCCTTAACTTCAGAACAAGAGGGCACAAACTCTGGGGGGAGTCCAGTCGTCGATTTTGCACTGAGGTGCCATCAACTACAGTACAGGACTCATATACATAATAGAAGACAAATGGGAACAAAGGGGAAAACCCAAGGGGGACTTACCCACTTGCCAGGTCAGTGAGCTCGTGAGAGAATCGCCTTATCGAGCATTGTGGAGTGGGTAGGTGAAGGGTGGAATTAGCAACAGCTACTAGAGAGTGGGAAAACCTTTGTGGAGTGGGTGGAGGCCCTAGGAGGTCCGTAGTAATATTGGGTAGATAGAAATGGATGAGGATAAGAGGTACCAGAGAAGGTACCAGAGATCAGAGGCAGAGGTGAACCAGAGGTGAACCAGAGGGTATAGTGGAGGTGCAAGGGGAGGATGGACTGGAGGTGGACCGGAGTGGTGGCAGAGTGGAGCGGAGGTGAGGCAGAGTTGGTATGGATATGACAGTCATCCCACGATGCCCCCTGGCTGCAGTCATGTCTTCTCCATGATCGCATCCAGCCTCAGGGCTGTGCCCACTTCGGGTATGGAGGGTGGTGGTGCAGCACTTGACCTCTGGGCCATTGTCTGCATGCCTGCACTCTGACCTCTGGGCTGCACTCCTCCCGGTATGTGGGGTTGGGGGTGTGGTAGTGCCAAGGTAGCAGCGATAGTGGGAGAGTCCCAGGGGATCCAGCAGGGTCTACACCCCACTCCCCACCCTCCCTCTAATGCCACTTCGCCCCAAAGTGGCTAAACCTCAAAAAACCCCCCCTCCTCCCTCCTCTGTGTGTGGTGGTCTGTTGCCTAGGATGCTGGGCCCCTCTTCAGGGGTAGATGGGGAAGATGTGGAAAGGAAAAAAATTTCGGGGTGGGTAGTGGGTATGCAGTAATGTTAGTCAGGCCTAGGACCGGGCCATGTGGGGTCATGTTTAAAAAACAACTCTCCTCCAAGTGCATCTTGCACCTTGGGGAGTCCGGGTGCATGGACAGCAGGGTTGCTATGATGTGGGCTGGGTGCCACCCTCCCTCTGTGCCACATGCCTAAGTGGCCACAGCAGGGGACCTTGGGCTCCTTGGTCAGCTCTTATCCATCACCTCTCATATCCATCCTCCATTGAAATCCAAATGTTAAACTCTCTCCTGTGTGCCCAGCACTGCAGGGAGTCGGGTCCGTGAGCCATAGCAGGTCTGTGATGTGGCTGGGATACACAACCCTCCCTCTATGCTGCATGCCTAAGCAGCCATAGTAGGGATCCTGGGCACCCTCTCCAGCGGCATCCATTCCCTCTCATGCTCATCCTCCATTGTGAATCCAAAAAGGTGCTTGCATGTGCCCGTGACTCAGTCACAGGTGAAAGTGGGAGCAGGTGGTCTCATCCAGGTTATCTTGGGCATCTGTGGCTACATGGTTGGCCACATTCAGGCAACCTTGTTCCCTATGCTCCTTGGCCAGTTCGTCAGCGCAGTTATAGCAATAGGGCAATCTTGTCCCTGCATGCATTCAGCCAGGTGTCCAGGTAGCAGTGAGGGAACTTGGGGGGCCAGGTGGGTGGTCTCTAGCAGGTCATCGTTCTTGCATCTGCGGTTACGAAGCTGGCAGTGGGTGGGTGACCCTGTGTCCAGAGTGCCTTTCAGCCAGTACCTTGGCAGCAGTCAGGCAGCTATGTCTCCTTAGTGCATTCAGTGAGGTGTTCAGGTAGCAGTGGGATGACTGAAAGGTTGCTTACTATTTTGGGGACGGTAACGTTCCGTTCCCCCATTCGCCTCAGGCCTCAGTAGGTCTGTCTAAACATAAGCTTGATGAGCTGTATATTCAATGGGGTAGAGGTAAAGGCTACTGGGCCTTTACAACTACTCCGAGGTATATATATGTAAATTACATATCTCGGCACAAATAAATAAAGAAATAACCACATCACTATAATGGGAATTATAGCGATGCAACATAATATAAATATCACTATAATCAGAATTATAGTGAAGTAAGGTTAATCCCTTACAATGACCCTCAACTCAACCTCACAGATTGGAGCACAATCTGTGGGACAGCGTTGCAAGGGCCCAGGATAGGGAATGTGGGTGTGGTTGTGTCACAGGTAATGAGTGTGTAATGGTCTGGGGGAAATGATGATGTGGCACAGCTGCCACTCAAAAATCGCAGGCTCGGCCCATGCCCAGCTCCAACTCAGTCTGGGCTCTGGCAGCCCATGTGGGACATCCTAGGTGGGCAGGGGCAAAGGTTGAAACCTTCTTCTGCTGTCAGGGGACAGACCCCAGGTCCCCATGACCCCTCTCTATGGCCCACAGCCTACCCTGTAAACACAGCCCATCTCAGGGCATAACTGCTGTGGGTGAGGAAGTGGTATAAGATAGAAGGCAAGTAAGATACACTTGCCTACTGTGGGTAAGAAAGTGAGAAGAAGGTTAACTTCTCACTTTCCCACAGTGGCCCAATATGGCGAAAACTTCCAGGGATACCCAGAAGTCACATGAGAAGTGGGAACTGGGCCCAGAGCATGCGGGGCATGCAGCATGCAGCACACAGAGCATGCGGGGCAGAGCATGCATGCAGGTCCAGGTCCAGGCTAGTCAGGGTGTGTGCCCTGATACAGTCCTCAATTATTCATGCCCAGTTTTCCTTCAGCTTGAATCCCTGGTGTCATATCCATACATACCCGATCCCAAACCAACTCCCGGAACCCCCATCTTCGCCACCTCCAGAGTCCTACCCTACCGCCGTCTGTTCCGATATTCACCTTCAGACCTGACACCACACCTCCCCTCACCCCTTATGCCACCTCCACCCTTCTGTCCTTCTCCTACCTTATCCTCGTCCACTCCGATACTCACCTCGGACTGAACACCACTCCTCTTGCCACCCTCCTCCTACTCCTCTTCTTACTCCTCTGCTTACTCCTCATGACACCTCCACCCTTCCGTCATTCTCCTACCCCTCTCCCGTCTGCTCCGATACTCACCTTCGGACCTGACACCTTTCCTCTCCTCCACTCCTCACCCCGCTCCTCTCTTCTCTCTCTTCCCTCTGACCCTCTCCTGCTGAACCTCCGCCAAGTTACAACCTTCCACCGCTGTCCCGTACCCTGTACTCGGACACTGCTTGTACCTTCACTCCGAGATTCCATCATAGTTCCAACCTCGGACTTTGACTCCACCTCAGCTTAAGTCCATTGCATTGGTGACCTCATACTACGTAAACACCATTGCCAATATTCCTCGGACTTTCAACCCTGCCTCCATAACCTCCACAAGCTCCATAACCCCCAAGCTCCGGGGATCATACTCAGCACTTTCACTGTCTGTAATGTATCTTTCACGTTTCCCCCTCATCCTTATTTGGACTGCTGCTTCTCTCTATTCTAGCCAGTTAGTCATCATCCCCACTTCCCCTCATCCTCCTGCCCCTCTGGGCTTTGCCCTCCCTATCTCCTTTTGGATGTACCACAGGTTCTGACCTATGACCTTCGGTACTGCTCTGCTTCCATCATCCCTTTGTTCCCGTTCAGACACCTTCATTCCGATTCAGACCCCCTTTGTTTCCCTTGTGCTTTCGCCCTCTCCATTATATACCGGCGCTTGTACATAGTCGTTTTAGGCCCTTAATCTAAAATCGACCTGAAATGCCCCCTAGAGACTTCCTGCTTGCCACCTATGAAATTAAGGACCAAATGGACAAACAGCAATGGCACAGCGCTCCGCTTGAGTCGCTGAGGCCAAGGTCCCTCCTTGCTAAGTCTCCGGTTCCCCTCTGGAATCGTCTGCCCTTGCCCAGTTCTAACACCTGGACTCTTGGGGAGAATAGCCTGAATGGAGCACATAGTGAAGATGTTGAAAACAAGGTTATGCCAGCGAGGGGAGATTATGGAAGTAGACTGCTCAGTCTATTAACCTGATGTAAATAACTGTAAATACGAGATTTGAGCTTGACTTCCAACACACCCTCTCAAGCGAAGAAACATGTAACAATGACAAAATGAAGTGGAAAAACAATTAGAGCATTTCAACCTTTGAACTCGACTTGGGTTCTGAATTACCAGCCAAAGCCGCTTCCTCTCCAGCTGCCCAATTGGCCTGTTCTAGCACTCACCTTGGAGACAAACTTCATGGGGGCTCAGGTTACAATCCATCTTGAAATGACCTGGCTTGCCACAGTTGAAACAGTTTGCAGCACCCTTCTGTGGTTCCTTTGTGCAAGCAACAAATGCAGCTGGCCCATCCCATGTCTGATATTCTGTCTGTCTGGTTTCCTCATTCAGGAGTCACATGATGACATATTGAACGGGATCGGAATTTGATGTTGGACCAGAGCCTTGAAGTTCAGTGTCAAAATGAACAATGAGTGGGGCATAAGCCTCAGGGAGTTGACGGGTCAGGGTATTGATGACATTGACAGGGATCATGGGTGAACCAATTGTTGCTAAACATCGGGCCAAATCTTCGACCTTTGTGATCCATTGGCACATTGTCAAATCGGGTTTGTATATCATAGAGTTAGATTGACAATGGAGAGAAGAGATAGTGCTACGGCCTTCAGACTGGAACATTAACTTGAGCTTGTTCCACGTCCCTGGTGTGTCCACATTATCACAGTGCACCATATATTTGGTGGACACATTTAGAAGGATTTCTGCCACAGCTAAGTGGTGCTTCTTCTCCCAAGCCAGAACAGTCCTCGAATTTGGACTACCAGTTGGCTTCTGACTGTGCCCAGATACGATATCCCACAAATCTTGCTTGGTCAAGTGGGCCTCCATGTACATGGCCCAACCGGGGTAGTTATTATATCATCAACTTTGTCAAATGTAACTGTAGGCAAGGTGAGGGAAGGGGGAATGATGGGTAGCAGTGAAAGGGACTATTATATGTGAGCAAGCAGATATCACCCTCTGATCCGGGGAAGATCTGACAATATTGGGAAAAAACCAATGGCAACAGTGATAGCGATAGTGATGGTGACAGTGACAGTGACAGTGAAAGTGCCTCCACTGAGGGCTTGGGGGATGGGTTCCTAATCCAAGGACCCTAAGAATGTTGCATGCCTCATCCAAGGGCTTTCTGGGTACCTGCCTCATCCAAGGACTCTCAATTGTGTGTGTGCCTCATCTGAGGGCTCTCATAGGGGGTGTGCCTCATCTGAGGACTCTAATGGGGTTGCCTACTTCATGGATGTGAGAGGTGCCTCAGCCAGAGGACTTCCGGATAGCCAATTAGAAATCAGCTAAGGTGCCACAAGGGTCAAGTGGAGTTTCACTGATACTTCAATGAGCCGGCTGGGCTCATAACCTGTTGAAAACGAGGTTATGCCAGCAAGGGGAGATTATGGAAGTAGACCGCTCAGTCTATTAACCTGATCTAAATAACCATAAATACAAGATTCAAGCTTGACTTCCAACAGAAGATGTGTTGATTCACCAACGCTTTGCACAAGAAGCTCTTGCAAGATCTGCCCAAAATCTGAACCTGCAAAGTGACCAGTTCATGGTTGAGCCCCTGATGATTACTACAGTATGTTGAATTAGTTGTATATAAAGTCGTAAATATCCTCTGTTTCAACCCCTCATACACCTTGTGAAAATTGTGTCCAACTTCCGAAATAGATTCCGGAATGCTGCTGTTCAAGCTGTTAATGAATACTATAACTTTTCAGCGATGGATGACTCAGAGCACATCGAAAGTGTCACAGACCTAATGGAGAAGTCCAGGTACATCTGGCAAAATCACCGCTTAGTTATGATTTTGCTCCAATGTCAATATGGCTAACTGACTTCTTACATACAGAAAGATGGTCCATTCGAAAACCTGATCATTTTGACTGTGCTGAAGGTGTTCATCACCTTCAAACAGCAGTTTATTTCTCATCAGTTGGGGGAGACTTGTCTTGATGATTTCAAGAACCTCAATGAACATCACAAGCTTATTGCCCTTGCCCTATCAGTGGTACTTCATCCATTTACTCATAACACCAGTTTGCTGATATGCACTTTGTTTAGATTCACTGTGCACTTGAGAGTGTTATTAATCTAGTTGAATTTTCTGCTGAATGCTTTGCAGAAATACATGAACATCATCTATTCAACATTGCCGAGTTTTCATCAAAAAGACAAGACGATGTAAGCATATTTGCTGTGCCATGTTTTGGTCTGTAGTGTACATTGCCAACACTCACTAACCTAACTACTGACTCATATTCCATCAACCTCTATAGGCAAGAACTCAAAAGGGATCATATGTCTGAGTTATATAAAAATCGATTTTTCTTCCTTTAATTACATGAGTCGCGAGAGTCAAGAACGCTGAGAATCCTGGAGTCTGAGAGCCAGCGCTGCACCGTTAGAAGGAGAGGAGCCGCAGAGCTCAAGAGGCCCAAGAGAGCGTGCCTCCTGGTTCTTTGAGAGGGGGTAAGGACCTTTTGGGCTCCCCAAGCTCCGTGGGATATGTCGGCTCCAGGAGGTCCCTCCGAGTTTCCTGATCTATCGATTTATCAGTGCATTGCCGAGTGAAGGTGTCTACGTAAGTAATTTCTATTCTTTTGCCTCGGTGGTCTCACTCAAGAACATGTCCAGCAATCAGTCCAGCGTACGGATTTGTTCCGGATGTCTGCGGAACAAACATAGTTTGGCTTGTCGCCAGTCTTCCCCTAGCAACAAAGGTATATATCAAGTTCCCTTTCCACTAGCTTGCCGACAACTCCGGGCCTAGCAATCTTTTGAGGAGGACCTGACTAAGAGCAAACAAATGCCGAGCGTTTACAAATTTGGCGCGACGGCTATGAATTCCACCCCGAAGCCCTCCGGTGGATCCGACCTCTCGGCTCGTTGAGTTGCAGCATCTAAAGTATGACGATGTTGAGATTCCTGGCCACCACCTTGAGGTAAGCCTTGAGATTGTCTTTTTCCTTACTCTAACACTTCCCTCCTATCATTAGCATAAAGATTCGTACCCGGACTTCATCACGATAGCGCGATTTTCCCCAACAGTTCATCTTTGCTGTGGAAACTCTTTTTGCTTTCGGCAAATCACCTTCATTGGCCACGACCACGACGGCTTCAAACGGCCGCTCTTTCGGTTTGTGAGCCATGCCTTGAGTTCTGATGGATATTCGGATGAAGGAAAGTCGGAGAAGGATTCTAACATTCCACATGATTGCACTGCCCATGACGCCCTCGCTAAGACCGCTCGAGGATGATCCCTCCTATGTCACGCTGCGGGACGTTTAAGACCAGCACTGCCAAACAGTCGGTATGTCGCGAGAGGAGTCCATCACAACCTCGAGCCGTCCACAACTATTCCTGTCAATCAGGATGAATATGCGCGGAAGTCAATGAGCGACGGAGGTTTGACGGTGACGCAGTAGTTCTGGAAGGAGCAATGGGTGTCGATTGGCACTTATAACACTCGGTACGGATTGGAGAATCAGAGCTCGTTCAGTTATCAGCGGACGAAAGCCGTGTCCGCAATGCGGAATTGTGTACTGGCAATAGGCACCGCGGCACCAGTGCATCGCGATGAGGGAAATGATGTAGCCTAAGGGGTCCCTGACACATGGAAACAAGTTGGTGCACGCTCAACCCAGAAGGGGAGTCCTATTCCGATATGAATGACAATGACTTGAAGCGGACTTCTGGATACTTTCGAATCGCTCTGTCGCACCACTAAAAGCACACTTGTCAACGACAGACCCTTGAAAATAGGGCCCGTGCACGGTCACCATCACCTATGATCGAATATCCATTACGGAAAGTACAATTTTTATGATAGCTTGAGGTGATTCATCACACAGATGATGATTATGTAAATAGAAGTGATTAAATTGCTTTCTATCATTTCAATCAACTTGGGGAGTTTGCTGATGTTTGGGTGGATTTAGGTTTGCTTTCAACTCATCGGGCAATTCGAAAGCTCACCTCGAACTTACACATGTTAAGTACCGGTATTTCACTTGAAGTTATTACAACCTCACATTCCTAACGCTGACATCCTATTCCCAAGTAATAAGCGATTATTTGGATGGGCCTAAGGCACGATGATTTTTCCGCTTTGAATTTCACGGATGATTTAAGAGGGCTGACACTTGGAGCTACCTAATTACCCAGAGAAATCCCCTCTCAGATCGCCACGTTCAAATGACGAGTACCCACGCACTCATCCGCACACCACCAGGCCGGGAATGGACGCAAAGGCATGCCTGCCGTCTGTAAACACCCTGCGCGCATTGAGGCGGGCTCTTCAGAGCCCGGTCCTGAACCTCCCATTCGGCTGAATGGGTCGCTCTAAGTAGCCTCTGACGTGCAATTAGGCACATGCCCTGTATGCGCCATTCGCAGGGCCCGATAATTCCAGGCAGCGAACTGACGTACTCGTCCCCCTCCGAGATCTCGCAACCCCCCCACCGGTACTTCGAGGAACATTTCATGTGGTGCCAACCGTTTCAGTTACTTAGCAGAGACGCCCTCAGGCGGGCCTGTGAACGTCACATCAAAATATGAGTCAGAGCTGCTCTTATCGACGATTATTTGCCTTTACCCTCATGACGCGATCTCAGCCCTAATTTTTCATCGCGTTCATTGCTTCAACCCTCATAACTGCTATCTTAACACGCTTATAACGATCTTTCGTTCACACCGTCGCTTCCTCTCCTGATTCGACACGTCTACCCACCGTCCGACGGTCTTCTTGGTTTGCCCTTCCGATTCCCTATCCTAATCCATATTCGATGAACCGCCAAGCTAATGACACTACTATCAGATAGTCTGTCCTCACCAATCCCTTTGTATTACAGTTCGATCGCCCAACCTTCGCGCATCATCAGTCACAAAATCTGCTTCGTGGATTCGTTCACCCACATAACGACAGCTGCCTAACTTCCTGTCCCTCTTCCTCATGCCAACATGTCCAGTCGATCGTCCTCCATCTTCACTTACTATGTCAACCCCTTTTTGGACAACAACTTTTTATTCGGGTTGCCGGCCCATTGACAATTCTGCCACTTAGTTTTGTGTGTGTTTTTTTTTTGACCGCGCTGTTGCGTCCGTTGTAAGCGCGGAAAAAATGGAAATGTATTAAAAGTCGGAAGAAACAATGATTCGGAAATGAAGTAATCAGAACAAGGGATTGAAACTTTGAAGCTGCAACATGTTGGTATTGTACTGGCACAGCAAACAAACGCTGTCGGAATGAAACACTCAACCGCAATTCCAGCTGGAATTGCCCTCACAGCCGCTGTGGGAAGAAAGGGAGAATTCCGGTGTCGGAAGCAAATCATCACCAACTGCGCACTTTTTACTCACCAACTGCTTTCCACCACACAACCCAGGCAGCTCAACAAACTTGGTAGGGATGATATGCTCCTTTTACTTGTGCTGGCAATTTTTAGCTTACTCTTACACCCTTACAGCCTTTGCCACTTTCACTCCCATCAAGTTTAACATTAGCTCTTTTCAGCAATGCCTGCACTCAACAAGTCCACTTCCAGGGTCATTAAGGGAGATAAAATGTAAGGTTCATTGCATCACCAGGTGGCATCTGATTTTGAATTGCCCTTCAGCAAATGTGGACAGTGTGACCAGGACTTTCTTGATGATAATGCAAGAAGGTCTCATGTGCGAATTGTGCACCAAGCCAAGCTTACTATCGGTGACATTCAACTAACTCGCCAGGAGGATGGCAGTTTCCACTGCCCTACGCCTGGATGCCACTATTTTGACCATGACCCTGCCAATTTTCGTCGTCACAAGCATGTAAAAGGAGGGAATGAGTCCAACCTCATCCCCACCAGGCCTCTGCAAGGAGAGCCCTCTTCTAACCCTCATGCTGTGGCCATTTCCAGTACCCCTACTGCAACTTTAGCTCCCTCTATTCCTGAGGTTAGGCCACAACCTGAGGATTCTGAGGATCAAGATGACAATGAGGATCCTGACTATCTACCATCTTCCCCACATCAAGAGGAAATTCACTTTCCTCCACAACAGCTTATGTTCATCGAGGAACTCTGTCCCCTGCAGATTGGGATTGATCCCACACATCGTCTCATTGTGTGTGAAGGATGTCAATGTGGTGTACCACGCCAGTCTCTGGAGAACCACATCACCCAGTCTCATGGTGGTAGATCCCAAGTCCCTACCAACTTGGACACAATTCTTAATAAATGTCAAGTCCCACAAGATGTTATGCCACCCACATCAAAAGCAATCCCAGTTGCATCACTTCCCATCAGGCCTGGCTTCATGTGTGGTGTCCCAGGGTGTGGCTATGCTTCTATCTCCCATGAAACCATCCATCGACATATTCGACGAGTGCACAAAGGTTTTTTGGCCCAGGAGAACACCCTACAAGCCCAAGTGCAGCTTATCTTCTCAGCTAGGCCAGTGTATCAAGTCTGGGCAGTGGATTCAAATTATTCCATGCTGGCCCCAGGTTATGAGCATAGGTCAGCATTGGACATGATCAAGGCTCATGATGAGTCTGGATGGGATGATGGAACAATCCGAGCACCTTGTGATTCTGTCCATGTTAATGGCTTCTTGAGGGAGTATGGATGGCTCAGGATTATAAAGGGGAAAAACTATAAGGAGTTGTGTGGAATGGTGGAGACTCCCAGCCAAAGGAACTCAGCACTTCTTCCACTTAAGGACAAGCTCACAGCCTACATTAATGGGATAAGGGAGGTGGTGGAGGAAATGGCCCCATTACTTTTAAGATGGATCAATACACCTGAGGGGCAAGTCTACATTGCCTTTCTGTGTCATCTAATCTAACAGTCCCCCAATATAGTGATATAAATCATAGGCCATTTGCATACCCCCAGAATGAAACAACTATGCAAAGGAATCAAGCCTTTGTGTTGAAGCTAGTCTGTTTTGTTCTTCGCTATCTTTCCCTTAACACACCTCCCATTCTAGTCACATTCACCCCCCATCAAAGGCTGTGTGCATCCAAAATCCAGTATGCTCTTGACAATCCTGAGTCATGCTCAGATAATGTGTGGGATGATCTCATCCATTCTCTGCTTGTATCCCTCTTCTTCCCTCAAGATGATGGTGATACTCACAATGCCACAAAGGATCCCATCCGAATGGGTTTGATCCTGATAAACCTTAACCCCAATGGGGGAGGGTTCCATTCCTGTGGTGATATTGCTTCCAAAATGTCTGGGTTGGTACGCATGATGCGCCTGGTGGCTGTGAAGGAGATCAGGAGGAAGGCTAATGAGGATACAAATACAGACTTTGAGTGTGTCCCTTCTCAATTCTTCTGCTACCCCATCTGATATCTCCACATTAGAGTGTGTAAGGAATTTTGTCATCAATGGCTCCAGGAAGGTGAACCAACCCCCTTTGACACCATCCAAGCCATGAACAAATACTGCAGTAGTGTGGCACTTAATGAGAGGCACCCACCTTCAACTACCTGGGACCCTGATCACAAGGGAATCAGAGTGAAGGGCCTGTATGTATCTCTGGCTGACATTCCAAAAGCATACTGTCAAGTCATGGAGAAGGCCAAGTCACTCTTCAGTTACCTCACAAGTGGCATTGATACAAATCTCCATTTCCCTTTTTCTGCAATTGTTGATGACTTGGAGAATAAGATCCCTTCCTATTCTTTCCTCTCTACCCCAATCCTTCAGTCCTACCGCTTTCACTCCATTGCCCACCTACTCCAGAATCCCCAGTATGTTGTGAGGATAGTTGAGGGGCAAGTAGAGTGGAATAAGGTGATGGTGAAACAATGGATGGAAAAGGCACAAAAGCTCAATGAGTGCATTCTCTTCCTACTCCACCTGGGATGTGGACAACCTGCTAGAGGCACAGAGATTCTCAGCTTGTTGTTTCGTAACATGCAGAACACACACAGAGGCCTCTTTGCCATGTCAGGTGGACTTGCCACTATCCTCAATTATAATAAGGTATAGAATGCTTGTTTCTCTGTGTTTCACCCACCTTCTCAATCAATTGTTCATAGACAAACTCAGCCTCTGGAAAGGAAAAGCTTATCCCCCGCTTCCCTCACTCTGCATTGAGTGATTTGCTTCTCAAATACCTCCTATTCATCAGGCAAACAGAAGAAGTATTGGGAACATATCTTTGGGGAGCTGATGCATCCAGGGTTCTCCACTACAACCTCTTCTATCAGCGCAATGGAAAAGCTGCAACTACCCCTGACCTAAGTAGGGTGATGGGTGAATATACCCTTGAATATTTGAAGGTGAATCTTAATGTGTCCACCTATCGCCACCTCGCTGCTGCCATTGGGAGGCATCTTATGGTGGGAATTATTGATCCAGAAGAGGACATTACAACTGGGATGGATGCTATGGCTGGAAGGACAACAACGACTTCTGAGGCCATCTATGGACTTGAGCCTGGAGAGGTGGGGAGAATTAATGATAGGATCATTTCATTGTTCCAGGCAATGGCTCGTCTATGGCATGCAAAAGTACTGGGGCTCAGACTGGAAGGAAAGGTAGCCACCCTTCACCAGATTCTGAATCCAGCCACCACAACAGGGGAATTGAGTGGCAGTCCCCCAGCCAATTCTTCACACCTTGGTTCCAGTGATCTTGACACCCTCATCACTCTCCTCACAAATGCATTTGATGACTCTGTGGCAAATAAGATTGTCCCTTCCCTCATCCAGGCCCTTAAAGACATGTTAGCAGACAAGGTCTTTAGGCAGGAGATTCTAGGCAGTCAGCAGCAGCAACAGCAACAACATGAGGATGAGGATGACATGCAGGACCTGTACTTTCCAAATCCTGACCCTGTGGATTCAACTCCAGACCATCAGGTGAGACAGTTTCTGCATTGATTCAAGCATTATATTCACTATAATTCTAGGAACAAACACTCTTGAATCCTTCCACCAATCATCCTGACCCCACCCCCCCTAACCCTACCTCCCTTCATGATTCCATTTCAGCCCATGATACCCCACCCACTGAGATTCTTGCCAACACCCTTAGCAATGATTATGACAGTGACTCGCTGTCCAGACTGCAACACATGCTAAGGGACAGGAATGCCACCTTCACCTCTCCAGCCCAGTATCATGTATACAAGAAGCTATTGGAGCGGCAGACCCATTTGGTTAGTATCTCTGGCACTGGCTCTGGAAAAACTCTTCCCTTCCAACTTGCAATCTTAAGTTGGCCACCAGAAACCAGAGCAGTGATGGTGCTCCCTTACCAGGTCCTTCACAATGATATGAAAAGGAGGTTCAATGGGATTGGCATTTCTTGTGGCAAATGGCACTCAGGTAATCATAATCCCACAGAGAGGGTAATCACACTGTCGATTGAGTCATTCTCCTCACAAGCTTGTATTGGGTGGCTCAATGATCTGGCCAACTCTGGGAAGCTTGGTGCCATCATGTATGATGAGGCTCATGGGTTGGTGGAAGATTCCACATTCAGGGATGCTTATGACTGTAGCATCACCAAGCTTATGCAGCTTCAGAACTGTCCCATCTTATTCTGCTCTGCCACCCTACCTCCTCAATACATGCATGCCTTCTGGAATGTACTCAAGGCAGAGTTTAGGCCCCAAGACACTGTGCAGGTCATTAGGTCTCCCACCCAACGTCACAACATTTGCTATCAAGTTCTGGATTGCAAAGTGGGTCATCCACCACCCAGGACAGCTTACAAATTTGATGAGTGGCAGGAGAAGTGGGTTACTGTGACCATCAAATTTATCAGGGTAATTGCTAGCTTTTTGAATGTTGGTAAGGGTGAGAGGGGAGTAGTGTTCTTTGGGAGTGATGAGGATTGCAGGCTGTGGGCAGGTCACCTGCAGTGCCCCTACATTATTGGAGATGTGGATGTAGAGCAGAGGGTGGAGGGTTTTAGAAAGTGGAGGGAAGGACAAACAGCTCTCATCTGTCTTAACAAGGCAGGATTTTATGGGTTTGACTATCCTTCAATTCGCTTTGCTATCATGGTAGGGGCACCATGGTCCATGACAGAATTCATGCAGAGTTCTGGAAGGATAGGCAGGGATGGCGAATTTTCTTCATGCATCACACTCCTCCCCTCAGCAGCAAAGAAGCCATTTCCCCAAGCTGAGGAGTCATTTAGTGGAAAGAAGGCCATTGGACTCATGTTGCATGCATCAGGAGAGTGTCTCAGGTACTTCCAATCACATCACATGGATGGAAATCCAGTCACTTGCTCAGACTTGCAGAGGACCATGGAGAGGAGGGTTGCACCATGTTCTGCTTGCTTCCCCAAGCTCCATCTGAATGAGGATGAGGATGAGGATGGGGACTTGGAATTCTGGGCAGAGCCTTGGGGTAAGTTTGCATATCCTTCATATGGCTATCTCACTTAAAACTTGCAGATTTCGATGAGGAGGAACGTACAGAAGGACGCTCCTCTGCTCCACACTCTCCTATCCCTAATTTCAATTCAGTCAATCCAGTTTCCCCACCACTCACACATGTTTCACTCCAGCACACATCAACATCCATGGATATCAACTCTAAACTGCAGCAGAAGAGAGCACTTGAGATCAAGAAAATACCTCAAAAATTGGAGAAAATCCTTCCTCAGTTGAAGGATCTCTGTCTGTGCTGCCTTGTAAAGGGGACAAGGGATGGAAGCCATCACACACATCAGTGTAAACACTGGGTGAAACACAAACGGGGTGGGACTGAGGCATTTGCTTTTAAAAAGGCACATTTTTGTAACCAGGGTGATACTGGATACTGCTACACATGTCTTCTGAACCCAGATGCACCCCTACATGGTGTCAAGGTTCCTGGTCAGCCATGTTTATATGCAGGGATTGTTTTTGAGATTGTTTGGCTCACTGTTAGTGACACAGAGATGATGACCAGCATAGCAGATTATTTGAAGGACAGCAGGCTTAAGGAGGAGAAGTATTATGCCCCATGGCTGAAGAAGGGGTATGATGGAATGGACAAGAAGTGGAGAAATTGTGCTACTCAGCTAGTCCTATGGTTCCATGATACATATCTCAAATAATGTAGTATTTACATGACATAGGTGTACACTCCAAAAATACTGGACTTACTCCCAATCATTAATGTACAGTTCCACAGTCTTCCATATTTATTATACAGACCCTATGTTTTCATCAGAATATCTTGGCCCTGAGCAAGTGCCTGAGATGTAATGTTATAGGAACAGAGTCTCCCACAACCATGTTGACCAAAGATCCACTATAGCTGTCACAGATCCACCAGGAAGGCTGTCCATACACTTCCCAGTCAAGTTGTTGTGTGGAGCTTGAGCTTCTGGGTCATCTGTGTCAGAGACATACTGGAGGTGGAGCAGAGTTCCAGGGGTGTTGAAGGGACTCGGCTTCAGCAACTTGGAACAGAGCACTGCACCTGTTATGTTACTCATGTCCCTGGTGATGAAGGAACTGAGGCTACCAGGAGAGGGGGCCTGAAGGCCACCCCCTTACTACTTATGTAATGATGAAGGCATTAGCAAGGTTCAATCGCTCATCATGCAATTCTACTGGGTTTTTTACCAAAGCACCTTGTGCACATCTGTTGCTCAAGACTAATGGGACTGTAAGGAATGGATGGTAGAGCAGTGGTTACTTGTTTATTTCATATCCATCCACTTCCATCACCTCTGGCCATCCTGGACTGCCCCTGCTCCTTCATCTCCAACCTTGGAGCCACTGAATCCTGCAATCTCCTCCAACTTCCCCAATGGTCACCACCCACCCATTTCAATATATTACCTACACCAACCTAAGTATGGAACCCTGAAGGACTCCAG